AAGCTTGTTTAATACTGAAGAATAGGGCTGTTTCACTGTCAGCTGATAGCTGCACTGGGCGTGGTTTGAATGCATCAATTTGAAATCCTATCATAGGATTTCACACTCATATACTATGGCATAAGAATTATTCCTATGCCATAGTATACAAGTCCTAAGGAGCCTAAATATTTAATATGTATATAAAAAATTTACATTTCTGCATGTATTTTAATGCTGTTAACATTAAGAAGCTTCAAATTATCTCTGATGCAAGAAATAGTTGGTCAAAAAAATTTAATTTTGATAAGACTGACTGGTTCCAGAACCTCGGTTCCCAAAACCAATATGGCTTGCAACAACAGTAATTTCAATCGATGTTCATTTTCAAATTAAAATTTATTTAGCCAGTATTTCTTGCATCAGAGATACTTTGAGGTTTTTCAATGTTAACAGCATTAAAATCCATGCAGAAGCATAAACTTTTAATAGGTTTTAGGCTAAAATTTACACGCCTAGTCCGAAGGACTTGAAACCTAGCTTTCAATTTCAGATCGAAAATGACCAATAAATCGCGCTTCTGGCAGCTTCTGTCACAGCTGATTGCAGCGCATTTTTACTAAGGGATAGCCCAAGTTGCCAATACGTATTTAAGGGGAGCGTCTTGGTCAAAAAAAAAACTTTTTCATTTACGGACGGATCACTTCGAAATTTATTGCACGTATGTAAAACAGAATTCTGAGACTTTTTTGTTCGTGTGAATTTTTCGAAAAAAGTGAAAGAAAACGTGAAATTCTTAGAAAACGGTAAAGAAAGGGGGTACTGTAGAAATCTCGGCGGGCCTAGGATTTTCAAGCTACAACATCGAGACACATATTATTCGATGCGTATAGACCATATCTACAAATTGTTGTAGGCGTTTTTTGAAATTCCAATTTTTTTGTATGTGGGAGCATTTTTCATAAATTTTTCGGAAATTTTTCGAATTTACCCCTTTCCACCCCCCCTTTTTGCAAAATAAAATCCAAACTATAACGAAATTAGAAAAATGCCTACAACAATTTGTGCAACTTTTCTTTTCAAATCGAATGGTATATGTATCATTGCTGTAGCTTTGAAACTGTAGGAGTAAATAGGTTTCCAGTGACAAGTGTGAATGTTCAGTAGAGCCCGACAAAGTCCCGGGCGCCTCGAAATCGATATTCAACACCGCAAGGAATGAGACTAGACGATACTGGAGCTTAATTTCTGTCAAGGATGGTACGAGCGACGGTGCAGTAACCACCCCGTACGACTGCAGCAAGGTTACTGGAGCTGAGTGTCTGTAGACAAGTGATTTATAGTGCACGGCGGGAATTATTCCCCATCTTAAATGTGAAAGAACTCCCCAACCCCCCTCCCTTTCGGGATCTGTCGTGAACGCATAAATCAACGTACAGAAATGGTTTTGGTACCGTTGGATAGGTCAGAATGTCAGCTTTAAGATGAGACTAAAAACAGGAAGAGCCTAAATTGTCGATTTTGGACCAAGACGCTCCCCTTAATGTAGTCTTTGTCCTTGAATTATTGATTGCTAATTTCTTACATTAGGTAAATCTTTATGATTCAAATTCATCATAGAAGTTGTATCTCCATAATTCCATGTTGAATTAAAATTACCCACATAAGGTTCACATACAGATGCCAGCGCCAGTAGCGGCAATCAAATGAACTACTTTATTGTTTAGTATGTTGACTAATAATATAATAATATTGTATTCTGTTTAGGCATAGTCTCTTAAAGTGTTTCAGCAACATATTTTCATTACTAATTATTTAAATTCCATGGAATTGAATAATTCTCTTGATTCTCTTGAATTTATTCATTCCAATTTAGAAATTTTATGAAAATTTCAAATGGCATTTAGTACATTTTCATACATCCTGGTATATTTATTATGTACCAACACTGCCTTTACCGTATAAGTATATGCCATCAAATGCGGTTGTAAGGGACGGTTTTGAGTGTTTTTCATTAATAACTTTTTACCATGAAACATTTCATAAACCAGTTTGGCCTCATTTTAAAGATTGTTGTGGGGGCTGTTGTATGGCATCTCTGAAAAATTTCATATGCTATTGGTAAGGTGCCAGATGCAAAATAAAAGTGTCCCGAATTACCCCTGGGAACAGGGTAATCAGGGACACTTAAAATAAACCTAATTTTAAAATGTTGGATGCATGCTGAGTGTACTCCTCCATTACTATCAGTGAACTGAAGTCCTCCTCTTCCTTTGTAGATGTTGTAGAGGTAGAAGAAATGTTATTTTCTGTGATTTTTACTTGCTTTTCCTTTATTGGTATAATATTACCCTATCCATAAACATGCCATTGAGCATTTACATCAACCTTGTCCACTGCAGGCTTCATATGAGCAGCCGGATAGCATTTCTTGTGTATCTGTAAGCTTACAGGATGGTTTGCAATTTCACACCATCTTAATTGGGTCAAGTGAATTCACTATAACAAATGAAGATCATAAAAACATACCTGAAACAGAAAAGAATGTTTTAGTGACAACCATCATATTTTTCGGAGAAGTAAATCACAGTTTAGTTTAATTACTTTTCATCCTATGTTACCTGGTGCACAATTCTATCTATGACATTCTATACACAATTTTCGGATGACCGATGATGCAATAATTTTTTGTTGAGTGACATTTTTGCTGAGCAAAGTAAATGTAATCAAAATTTTTGTTGTTAATTGATTTTTTGTTAACTGGAGCCTTTGCTAATCAAGGTTCTACTGTAAATGCATTTTTAGGGGTGTCCCATATTACCCCAGAGGGTGTACCTTATTACCCCATCCTGTGGAATAGGCTGTCATTTTTTTGGAATGAGATACGCAAATTCCGGCAATCACGTTTTTAAGCCAACACCTGTGTGCAACTGTTATGAAAGTAAAATTTTGTAATGTGGTGAATACTTTCTTTACTTCAGACCTTCGCAGAGGTACTTTTCCAAAAATCTCACTTTTCTCAGCTTTTTAGGGATTCTTTTAAAGGCTGTAAATGTATAATTTCTTAACTGGCTTTATGCTACATAGATAGTAAAATGTTGAACTTTATGCCACTATTTTTAGTTTTGCAATATTTTGATTAGTTCAGCTGCTACAACATTTCTACAAAATGTGAGATGACTGTCCTGATTTACCCCACCTGTCCTTTATTACCCCGTTTGATGGTACTGCATTTCTTTTGAACTAAGAAATTATTCCATATGTTGCACCAAGAAGTTGGAAAGCCCAAAATAGGTGATCTAATGAGATTTCATTTCCCTATGTGAAGGATGAAAAACTTATCTATAAGGAAGTTGCAGAAATTTAAAACAAAAGTTTTTAATGTGTGATTGGATGTTTTTGATCTGAATGGGTGAAAAATTACAACAGTTCCCCTTGAGAATGGCATTGAATTTAAATAATAAATCTATATAGCAACAAATATAGTGACTAGTTAATTTAGGGAAACCCATAGGTCAAACAAAATAATTTAGATTGATTTACGCTGCCTTACTGGCTTATTGGTATAGGATTATCATCAATGCCAGGCTATGATGGTGAGTTTTTCTTGGATGTGGGAAGCTCTCTTTTAGTTGCTCTGCAAGGAAGTAGGTCATACCTACTAGGGGTCCTTGCAAACCCCCTTTCCTGAGGTGCAAATGCTTATCATCAGTTAATGTGGGAGTATAACCTAGGGTGGTGATTGTTAGTTCACTGCATAAAAATTACTCATAGACCTTATCATGTATCCCTGTAATGGTAGTGTATTGAGTGCACTCCTTAAGTTCATTAGGTTTGATCTTCTTCAGCCTTTCTGACTAGGATAAAGCTAGTAAACTGATATACAAGTCATTCAAGGTTAAGTGGAACACATACCTTGGTTTGCACATGTCTCTGTTTCTTATATCATTCCCAATACATACTATGTTCTTTCTTAACTAATTATTTGAAAGCAAAGAATATTCCACAAAAATTCATATCTTTATGGAAAACATTTCAGATACCAGCTCCATTGTCTGTTTGCAGAATCAGTAAAATGTGGTAAAGGGAACAGTGAAAATTTTCACTGTTCTCTTTACCACGTTTTAGTGATTCTACGAACTGATGATGGAGCTGGTCTCCAAAACGTTTTCTATAATGATATGAATTTATGTGTACTATTCATTGCTTTTAAGTTTTTTAGTTAATTTTCAATTTGAGCAAACAAGTGACATCAATTCTTTATTATCTTCTTTCTTTTTGCGATTGCTTCATGATTATTTATTATTATATGATTTATATTAAACATGGTAAAAGACTGAATAGAAAGCTTGAGTAAGAAAGTTGAACCATTGTTTTCCTGAACCCTATTGCAACAAATGCTGTCAGGCACACTGCCTGGCCAGCAATGCTTTTGACTTAGTGTCATGTAGCACAATATTAAATGAAGCCTAGTTGTGTGCATCAAAAATTATTGATATATCAAGCAAATAATTGTGTATTTAAGTAACTTCCCAGCAGGCAATGTCAGGTTGAATCAACGTTGATTCAATGAAACTCACGACATTGAAATAATGTTGAATATTAGTTTAAAATGAAAATTGAATTTTTTCAACATTTCAACATTCATTTTTCAATTTTTTCATTAAAATAAAAATCATTTTTTCAACATAGTACATTTTGACGTTGTTTCAACATTTAAATCATGTTGACATCCAACAACGAGATCGTGAATATATATAGTATGTGATTTTAAAGTCAGAATTTAATACAATTTCAATGAAGAAACAACATCAAAATGAATGATGTTGAAAAATGACGTTGCTTCAATTTTCATTCTAAACTAATAATCAACATTATTTCAATGTCATGAGTTTCATTGATTCAACCTGACACTGCCTGCTGGGTTAGGACAAGTGAATTTTGTTGCAAATGTTGAAATTAAGGCCTCCTTTTTAGCCTCAAGTGCACTCTGTACAATTTTCTTTATCCCTCCAGTGTTATTTTCATTGCTGTTAACATTATTCACTAAAAAACTTCTACCTAATTTATTCACAATTCTCATCACATTTGGTGATGGCGTCCAAAGAAGGCAGTGTTGCTCTGCACCAACTCTCTGATGCTACAGTCAGGAGTGGCAGATGCCCTGAGCAGAGCCTCACTCAAGTGGCTCCTGGTGGCAGCAAAGTAAAGTCTGAAGGTAAGCCTGATTCCATGTGCCTCACAAATTAATTGTTATGATGCAAAGGAGGAACAGAATTCATGTAAGTTTGTCAGATTTATTTCTCATCTGTAATTATTTCTTAGGAGTTTCAGTACAATACAGGGTCATCAATATTTAGTGTTACAACTTTGAGTGGTTAGAACTATGAAATGAAACACAATTGTGAATGTTTGAAAATTTATTTATGTAGGCAGAGGTTCAGAGATACAATTCCTACAATTTCATTCAATATGTCCACCATCTGCATCAATAACGAATTGTAGACGCTTGGAGAAAACCTTACACGAGTCACGAATGACACTCTGCGGGATTTTGGCCCACTCCATCAGCAGTTTGACTTTTAGGGAGTCCAAACTGCTATGGTGAACGTTCGAGACCTTGCTCTCAAGGTATGACCAGATCCCAAAATCCAGAGGATTCACATCGGGTGACGATGGGGGTCATTTATCTTTGGTAATGAAGTGGGGAACATTCTCGGACAGCCACTCATGAGTCGATTTGGCCCCATGGAATGGTGCAGAGTCCTACTGGAACGACCAGGGACGTTTTTTGAAGTGCTTTTGTGCCCAGGGCAACAATGCACCAACAAGGATGGCATCTTGATAGTTCTTCTGATTCAATTTCACCCCTTTGTCAACAAAAAAAGGGGACCCCTTGAGGACTCTGTTACGGCGGCCCAGACCATCACTGAGGTCGGGCATTGCTTCCTAGTCACCACACGGGATCCTTCGTCCCATTCTTCGACCAAATTCTATCATTTTGGGAGTTGAAGTGGTGTTCAACATTGAATATGTTCTCATCACTGAAAAAGAGGTTTGGCAGCGTGCCATCATGAATGCGGGAAAGAAGAATCTTGGATCTTTGGAGGCGTTTGTCAACAACTTGAGCAGACAGTTGGTGTTTTTTGACATGCTTGAATGGGGGACAACTTTAGGTCCTTCCAGTTAACAGTTAACATGGTTTCATACAACACATTTGACTGTTTTGCGAGTGTATTGATTTTGGAAAAACAATGTAATGCTAAATATTGATGACCCTGTATTTGATAACAATGTTGGAATATGCCACCTCATGAGTCTCACTCATCCAAGTGATATCAACATTTGTCTAAAGCTCACATGACTCATTAATATAGTGAGCATTATATTTGCTATGAGATATCTTGCTCCATAGCCCAGTGGTACCAGTACACCAATGTATATATTTTTCAGCCATGGAAAAGGTTGATCCTTCACCAGTCCTCGAAGTTCCTGCTATCTACATCAAGGAGGAACCTGAGAATGAAACTGAAGAAGTATCCATCAAAGAGGAACCATTCTTAGATGGAAATGAAGTAAGTTGAGTTGATATGCAAATAAATGTTTGGCAAAGTATTAGAAATTCCCACATAAATTTTCAATAAATGAACAGCAGGATGCTATTTATGTAATCAAATCTCTAAATTATGCATGAGGATACATATCTTAACCAAGTATTTAGTCTGAAATATTGAGCAATAATAATCAGGTATGAAGAACCCTAACCCTCAACCTGATTATCCCTCCAGTCCCAATTGGGTAGAAGTTGTGGGAAATTTGATTTATTATTACTTGCATCAGGATTTATATTCTAAGAACAAACCCTTATTTTTGTCTCATAGTTTTCTTTAGTCAAATAACTATGATATGTGATGGCTTTTATTTTCCGTATATAAAAATGAAATGTGGTGGCCACTATTGGCCGGAACCATGAAAAACTGTCCACATACAATGCAAAGAAAGAGGTGCTGAGAACATTTATGTATGCCAATTGGATTCAACAAAATCGCACTAAAAGGGCATTTACTTCTGAAATTGCCACTCAATTTCATATTTACTTGCAAGCAAATGGCAAGCAAAATCTTTGTATGGCAAGATTTTGAAGATATGGCAAGCAAAATCTTTGTATCATGAAGCATCAAGATGAGGAAACGTTTTACAGCCAGTAATTTTGATGCTACGACATCCATATGCTGTTGAGGAAATTCGGAACTTGCAGATAATTCTATGAGAAGTTGTACATTACATCCTATCTAAAAATGCACGTATCACTGTCAGCTACATTAATATTTTCCTCCACTTCGCTTGTCCCCAGGCCTCTTCAAATCAACATCTTCCTGGTGTACCATGCAAGACAGAAGCAAAAGTTGAGACTCACGACCCCCATCCAAACTCCTCACAAAACACTTCTGCTTTGTTGTTGAATCAGGTATATATACATAATTTTAGCTTTCACTATTATACACTATGACTGAAAATTTTGAAACATTTTACCAGTTCCTTAAGATGGCAAATGTTTCATTTTATTGTGGGTATTTACTAATGATAAAATTTATGACTTAATAGGTGCTGGTAGTGACACTAGGAACAAATGTCATTTTCCCAATGCATTTAGTCCTGCAAGTGAAACTTAACAATTTTTGGTCTTCAAAGATATATGACAATTCATTTCCCCTAAGCAAGGATCTAAACCTGGAACAAAACATTTAGTTCAGAAGGAAGATGAGGGAATGCACTTGAACCTGTTGCATTAAATGTAATATCCTTACACTCCTCATGTATCTGAGATCACATCCAAGAACGGATGGAATGGGTAATAATTAACATCACACAGCATGGAACGAACGGAAAATGGATGGCTTGGGTGCATGGTATGAGTTGATGAATCACTCTGGTTGCATTAGTGTAGAGGCTGTTGCTGGCCAGCTTAAGACTAGTGCTGGTCATGTTGTTTGGTAGGATTGGCTGAATGATGTACAGATTGTCATCCAAGTTGTAGGATTGGTGGTTCTGTCATGTTATTTGGTGG